GTGTATGACACCATGTTTCAAAGAGTTCCACAAGCTGCAGAACTAATAGGAATATGTTCAGTGACTGTATATTGGTATATATATTAGAGAACAATAGTAATAAACAATGTTTTGTATTGTTTGTTTTTGTAAACAAGTTTTGTAAACAATATATTGATAATTATGTTTGTGTGCTTATTGTGTTGTATACAACGAGTGTATATATGTACATTGCACCTTACTTTGGTCTCATAGGCCACATAAGTTATGTGAAAAAATAAAATAGTGAAAAAAACAACAAACCTTCAAATACAAGTAAACCAAAGTTTACCGGCGAGCGGCAGTCGCCGCTGTTGCCATACAGGGCTCATTTTATGCAAACTTTATGCCTCCATATCTCCGTAAGTATTGATGGTAAAATTTTTTTGTTTATCCTATAATGTTTAGAAAAAAAAACTCTATTTTTTCATAAGAAAAAATAATATTTTTTTTTTTTTTTAAATTTGGCCGACCCTGAGAACAAGTTTCTGAGAGGGCCTGTCGACCCTCAAAGGGTTAACAACCCCTCCTCAGCCCTCTGGATAATAGTTTTGGTAATCCCGCACCTCCTCCTAGTTTCCAAACTACGAATTCTCTGCATTATATTTGCACCACACATTGCCCTCACACACGACATCTCCACTGCCTCCAGCCTTCTCCTTGTTGCAACACTCACCACCCATGCTTCACTCCCATATAAAAGCATTGGTATAACTATACTCTCATACACTCCCCTCTTTGGTTCTATGGACAAAGCTCTTTGTCTCCACAGACTTCTCAGTGCACCACTCGCCTTTTTTCCCTCGTCATTTCTGTGATGCACCTCATCTTTCATAGACCCATCTCCTGACACATCCACTTCTAAATATCCAGATACATTCACCTCCTCCATACTCCCTCCCTCCCTTTTTTTTTTTTTTCTTTAACACATCAGCCGATTCCCACCAAGGCAGGGTGGCCCGAAAAAGAAAAACTTTCACCATCATTCAATCTGCCACTGTCTTGCCAGAGAGTTGCTTCACACTACAGTTGATAGAACTGCAACATTAACCCTTTTAGGGTCAAGAGGCCCTCTCCTAAACTTGTTCTCAGGGTCAAAAATTTTTCGGAAATAAAAAAAATTATTTTTCTTATGAAATGATAGAGAATCTTTTCCCGATCATAATAACACCAAAAGTATGAAATTTGATAGAAAACTTAGGGAATTATGCTCTCACAAAGTTAGCGGTCTCACCGATATTTATGCATCAGCGATTTTGGCCGCTTCGAGCCCTGTTTTCAGCCAATTCCTGTGTACTAGTTGACAAAAATCTTATTTATTTCGCTAGAATTCCATTTTTTCTATCGAATGAGTACAAGAGACCACCCATTTACCATTTTCAACTATCCAATAAAATGGTTAGCAATTGGCAATTTTGCCAATTTCACACAAATTTCAGAAGATGCCAATTTCCAAATAGGGTCCAGAACAAACAAGACAGACATTCCTGGCACTAAAATAACAAGTTCTCTGTTAGTCACATCCCAAGGCCCCTCTTATATTTGTTTTGCTTTCCATTTTGAATTTTTATTCTTACAAAAAATAAATTTGCTGTTATGCAGACTACTGCTTTAGTGTAGAAATGGTATAAATAATATCAGCACACTTGTGAAAGAATATTAGACTCACCAGTTGACATGTATTGGATGCTTGGCATGACTTGTTTACTTTTGAACTTTGGTAAAAATCGAACATTTCTGCTATTTTGAGCTCAATTTCAAGGTACTTTTCATTGTGAAACCAATCAAAATCATCTCAATTTCTGTAATATGTCTTCCATTCTATAAAATGAGACCAGGAAAACTAGAATACAACCATAAATACCATACAAAAATACAGTGCAAAGTCACTGTTTTAATTCAAAAACACGGTCAAAGTTTTTTTTTTCTCATTACGCACTCTGTGCTGCAGGATTTTTTTTTATACTGCGCACACTGACCACATAGACCCATTCTTTCATATGTAGGCCTACCAGCTTTCTCTCGCTAGATTTGAAGGCGCTAGAATTTAGGCATTCTAGTACATCAATAACCCTGGTGCGTAAGCCGTACTAGTTCGTCGAAAACCCTGAAAGGATTAACGCCCCTTCTTCAGAGTGCAGACACCGTACTTCTCATCTCCAGGGCTCAAATCCGGCCTGCCAGTTTCCCTGAATCCCTTCATAAATGTTACTTTGCTCACACTCCAACAACACGTCAAATATTAAAAACCATTTGTCTCCATTCACTCCTATCAAATACGCTCATGCATACTTGCTGGAAGTCCAAGCCCCTCGCACACAAAACCTCCTTTACCCCCTCCCTCCAACTTTTCTAGGCCGACCCCTACCCCGCCTTTCCTCCACTACAGTTTTATACATTCACAAAGTCATTCTGTTTCGCTCCATTCTCTCTACATGTCCGAACCACCTCAACAACCCTTCCTCAGCCCTCTGGACAACAGTTTTGGCAATCCCACAACTCCTCCTAACTTCCCAACTACGAATTCTCGGCATTATATTTACACCACACAGTGGCCTCAGACATGACATCTCCACTGCCTCCAGCCTTTTTCTCACTGCAACATTCATCACCCATGCTTCACACCCATATAAGAGCATTGGTAAAACTACACTGTCATACATTTCCCCTCTTTGCATCCAAGGACAAAGTTCTTTGTCTCCACAGACTCCTAAGTGCACCACTCACCCTTCTCCCTTCATCAGTTCTGTGATTCACCTCATCTTTCGTCGACCCATCTGCTGACACGTCCACTCCCAAATACTATCTGAATACATTCACCTCCTCCATACTCTCTCCCTGCAATCTGATATCCAATCTTTCATCACCTGATCTTTTTGTTATCCTCATAACCTTACTCTTTCCTGTATTCACTTTTAATTTTCTTCTTTTACACACCCTACCAGATTCATCCACCAACCTCTGTAACTTCTCTTCATAATCTCCCAAAAGCACAGTGTCATCAGCAAAAAGCAACTGTGACAACTCCCACTTGGTGTTTGATTCTTTATTTTTAACTCCACACCTCTTGCCTAGACCCTCACATTCACTTCTCTTACAACCCCATCTATAAATATATTGAACAACCACAGTGACATCACACATCCTTGTCTAAGGCCTACTTTTACTGGGAAATAATCTCCCTCTTTCCTACATACTCTAACCTGAGCCTCACTATCTTCATAAAAACTCTTCACTGCTTTCACTAACCTACCTCCTATACCATACACCTGCAACATCTGCCACATTGCCCCCCTATCCACCCTGTTATATGCCTTTTTTAAATCCATAAATGCCACAAAAACCTCTTTAGCTTTATCTAAATACTGTTCACCTATATGTTTCACTGTAAACACTTGGTCTACACACCCCCTACCTTTCCGAAAGCCGCCTTGTTCATCTGCTATCCTACTCTCCGTTTTACTCTTAATTCTTTCAATAATAACTCTACCATATGCTTTACCAAGTATACTCAACAGACTAACCCCGTCTAATTTTTGCACTCTCTTTTGTACCCTTTGCCTTTATACAAAGGAACTATGCATGCTCTCTGCCAATCCCTAGGTACCTTACCTTCTTCCACACATTTATTAAATAATAGCACTAACCACTCCAAAAATATATCCCTACCTGCTTTTAACATTTCTATCTTTATCCCATCAATCCCAGCTGCCTTATCCCCTTTCATTCTACCCACTGCCTCATGAGCTTCCCCCACAGTTACAACTGGCTCTTCCTCACTCTTACAAGATGTTATTCCTCCTTGCCCTATACACGAAATCACAGCTTCCCTATCTTCATCAACAGTTCCTCAAAGTATTCCCTCCATCTTCTCGATACCTCTGACTCTCCATTCAATAACTCTGCTCTCCTATTTTCAACTGGCAAATCCATTTGTTCCCTAGGCTTCCTCAACTTGTTAATCTCACTCCAAAATTTTTCTTATTTTCAACAAAGTTTGTTGATAACATCTCACCTACTCTCTCATTTGCTCTCTTTTTACATTGCTTCACCACTCTCTTAACCTCTTTTTTTTTATTGTCCTCATCATCTTACTCTTTCCTATTTTCACTTTTAATTTTCTTCTCTTACATACCCTACCAAACTTATTCACCAACCTCTGCAACTTCTCTTCAGAATTTCTTTGAAAGCACTGTGTCATCAGCAAAGAGCAACTAAGACAACCCCCACTTGTGTTAGATTCTTTATCTTTTAATCCCCATACCTTTTGCCGACACCTGAGCATTCACTTCTCTTACAACCCCATCTCTAAATATATTGAACTACCATGGTGACATCACACATCCTTGTCTAAAACCTATTTTTACTGGGAAATAATCTCCCTCTCTCCTACATACTCTAACATGAGCCTAACTATCCTCATGAAAACTCTTCACTGCTTTCAATAACCTACCTCCTATTCCATACATTTGCAGTGTCTGTCCCATTGCTCCCCTATCCATCCTGTTGTACGCCTTTTCCAACTCCATAAATGCCCTAAGAGCCTCTTTACCCTTAATCTAAATACTGTTTACACTTTATAATAATTTCAGCTATAAACAATTAAAATAATCATTTATTATTATTATAATTACAGTAATGATAATTGTTGATACATATTGTAAACATTTCAGATTTTGTGTTTAACCTCCATTTAACTTAAATTTAACCTTTGACTTACATTTAACATTTGACTCACATTTAACATTTGGATTTCATTTTATCATTGATCCACATTTGACCTGCATTTACCCTTTGACCTGTTTTTTTAAATTTTACTTACATTTAATCTTTGACTGGCATTTAACTTTTGATTTACGTACATTTAACCTGTGACCTCATTTAAAAGCTACTGCATAAAAATGCCTCTATAGTGAAACAAGATAAAGAGGGAGAGAGATGAATACTTCCCCAGCATTTGGCTAATCAGCCATTTGCTTCAGATGAGTGTGTCATCAGGGATGGACTCGGTGCGAGGTAAGGGCGGGGACATCCTGCTGCTACATCGTTTAGGTGAAGTGATGCTCCGAGCTGTCAATTCCGGCCGGCCACTTCTCCACATAATGAGGGCCTGGGCTGTTGCTGGGCCCCACTTTATGGAGGTATAGTAATGTTCTTTATAGCCACGTTACCCTTTGGGGTACCTTGATGGGTGAAGTGAAGCTACCCTTCCCTTCATTGTATCAAACACAATTAATTTCCATTCCCCAGGCACTGTATGGCCCCTGATAGTTTAGCACTTCCCATTTAATATAAAAATAATCAGTAAATTTACTTGTAAGATTATTTGTAACAAATTTTTTCTTAGCTTATTTGGTAGAATCAAATGAATTTACCACCCCAGACCTTTACTTCTGTTAACCATAACATCAGCATTGTGGATAACTTTTATTTTTATACCCTAATCAAGATTTATGTTTGTGTCCGTATCATTGGAATTAAATTTAAACTTAGAAGTTGGAAAACTCTGCATAATAAAAATATACGGTATAGTTCAGGTTGGCCATCATTAACCCTTTCAGGGTCCAAGACCAAAATCGGAAGGGGTGCCCCAGTGTCCAAGAAATTTTGAAAAAAAAAAAAAATATATTTTTTCTTATAGAATTAAAGAGTATATTTTTGTGAAGGTAATAAAAAAAAAATTCTGATCAGAACTTACCGAGATACAGCGGTGAGAAGTTGACCCAAAATGACCGGGTGGCGGCAACATCGGCAATTTCCACAAACTCGCATTTCTTTATTTTACGTTTTTTATACTTTTTTCTTTTCTTTTCTAATTTTTTTCTTTTTCTAGTAACATTTGTGGCCTGTAAGACCAGTACTGTATATAATGTATATATATAAACTCACTGTATTGAACACAATAACCGCACTAAAATTATTATTATAATATTGTTTACCACTTTTGTTTATTACAATAAACATGCACAAATCTTGTATAATACTAATGTTAAATCATATATTTACATATTTACAATCACTGGACATGGTTTTAGAACTGCTGGAGCTTGTGGAACTTCTTGAAACAAGGCACCATGCACAGAGGTACCTTACATTCCTCGCACATAAACCGAGTGTCTTTGCGTCTTTGTTGCCGTCATTTTGTTTGTGCACAGACAACACATCTCTTCTGAGCAAATTTCTTCTTAGTTGCAGGAAGCTGTATTATGAAGTGATCACTTTCCCTCCTTAAACACTTGGGTATATCCTGAGGAGTTCGAGGACGGTTTTGTATAGCAGGTGTTGTTACCTGGTATTTCATTATGAGTTGTCTGACAACAGACAAACAAAATTCACCATACGGTGGTCTGTTGCCAGTCTTCACTTGGTACATATTATATGCATTGAGCATTGAAATGCCCATGAGATGGAAGAAAAGTTTCATGTACCACTTGTAACTCTTTTGAACACAATCAACAAAGCCAATCTGCATGTCACATTTGTCAACCAAGTGCATGTTATGTGTATAATCAATCACTGTCACTGGTTTTCGAATATGTTCATTAGTCACTCTATCAACTTTGCCACTGTCTTGCATTTCGTTACGGTGAATGGTTGTCAACAATGTGACATCTCGTTTGCCATGCCACCGTAATGCCATGATGTCATTGGCAGTAAACACCTGAACCTCTTCACCACAAGTGCCTGCATTGAACCTGGGCATATGTTTACGATTAGAATGCACTGTACCCCACACATCTGTCATGTACACTCGCAAGAAATCACTGAGTAAAGAGCTTGTGTACCAGTTATCAGTATATAATGTATGCCCCTTACCAAGATAAGGTGCCATCATGCTTCTCACTACATCACCTGAGATACCCAATAACATCCTGGTATCTTTCAATGTTTTACTTCCCATGTATACAAAAATATCCAATACCAGGCCACTGTCAGTCACAGAGTACAAGCAGTTTTATACCAAAGCGTTTCCTCTTGCTCAGTATATACTGTTTGAACGACAGTCTACCTTTGAACAAAATCAAAGATTCGTCAAGTACAGGATTCTTCAATGGTTAACCCTTTGAGGGTTTCGGCCGTACTAGTACGTAAGGTCTTATGCGCAGGGGTTTTTGACGTACTAGTACGCATAAATTCTAGCGTTGTCAAATCTCGCAGGAAAAGGCTGATAAGCCTAGATGTGAGAGAATGGGTCTGTGTGGTGGGTGTGCGCAGTAGGAAAAAAATCTGGGACCCAGTGGTGCATTGTGGGAATGCCATCATAGTACACAATGTCCACTGTGCCTAGCGGTGAGAAGTTCCTCACTCCTTGGCGAATTGGGACACTTTTGTTCCCCAGTGACAGTTCTAATACAGATGGAAGTGACAGTGAAGAAAAGTTTCAAGGTTCTGGTGAGGTTTTGACCTAAACTAATGACCATAATATGGGTAATAGTGAGGAAAACCCAGACAACCCACAGCCTTCCACCTCTGGTGCTGGGCCATCTTGTTCACGTTCAGTTGTACCAGAATCAAAGAGGAAACTCCTATTTTCCCAAATCCCAGACTCAGATGTGAGCATTGGTGTTGATAGTGATAGTGATTATGAACTACAAGCTCTTCAAACTTGTTCCAAGAATGGAGGAGGAGGAGGAAGAAGAGGAGGAGGAGGCAGAGGAGGAGGAGGCAGAGGAGGAGGAGGAAGAAGAGGAGGAGGAGGAGGAAGAAGAATACGTAATGATGATAAAATACATAATACATAATAATAATACATAATAATAATACATAATAATAATAATACCTAATAATAATAATATGTAATAATAAATGTTCACCCATGACAGTAACAAGATAAGGGGAGATAACATCTGATAAGTGCTGACGTTTGATGAGGGTAAATGAGGGTGCAGCTCATACCAAAAGATTAGATGAACATTGCCCTCCCTTTGTTTTTGCTGGTATACTAACATTTCTGTCTGTCTATTTGCCTGTCTGTCAAGCTCCCTGTCTATCCGTCTAGCTCTCTGTCTCAGAGAGCCACAAGACTGCGTCATCACTTTTACTCACATCTTCAAGCAGAGTATAGCACTTTGTCTGGGTTTCTTGGGTTATCCTAGGTAATTTATACTATGTATACTTGTATTTGTGTACCTGTGAGACAGAGATAGACAGACAGATAGAAAGAGATAGAATGAGGGAGAAAGATAGAAATGGAGGAGGGGAAGCAGCATCGGACCCCATTGTTTTGACAGGCAGGAGGGGGAGTGAGTAATGAGACAATATGTCATTTTGACAGCTGCTGACTCCTGGTAATTTACACTATGGAGGAGGAGAAGGAGAAGGAGGAAGAGTAGGGGGAAGAGGAAGAAGAGGAGGAGGAGGAGGAAGAGGAAGAGTAGGAGGAAGAGGAATAAGAGGAAGAGGAATAGTAGGAGGAAGATTAGGGGGAAGAGGAAGAAGAGGAGGAGGAGGAGGAGGAAGAGGAGGAGGAAGAGTAGGAGGAAGAGGAAGAAGAGGAGGAGGAAGAGGAAGAGTAGGAGGAAGAGGAAGAAGAGGAAGAGGAGGAGGAGGAGGAGGAAGAGGAAGAGGAAGATTAGGGGGAAGAGGAAGAAGAGGAGGAGGAAGTGTAAGAGGAAGAGGAAGAAGAGGAGGAGGAAGAAGGAAGAGTAGGAGGAAGAGGAAGAGTAGGAGGAAGAGTAGGGGGAAGAGGAGGAAGAGGAAGAAGAGGAGGAGCAGCAAGAGGAGGAGGAGGAGGAAGAGGAGGAGTAAGAAGAGGAAGAGGAAGAGTAGGAGGAAGAGGAAGAAGAGGAGGAGGAAGAGTAGGGGGAAGAGGAGGAACAGGAAGAAGAGGAGAAGGATGAGGAAGAGGAGGAGGAGGAAGAAGAGGAAGAAGATGATGTAATAATATTTTTCCCTTGAAGCAAGAAAAAAAAAGTCCACCACATGACAGTGACAAGATAAGGGGAGATAACATCTGATAAGAGATGACTTTTGATGAGCGTAAACGAGGGTGGAACTGATAAGAAAAGATTAGATGAACATCGCCCTCCCTTTGTTTCTGCTGGTACACTAACATTTCTGTCTGTCTATTTGTCTGTCAAGCTCCCTGTCTATCTGTCTATCCGTCTAGCTCTCTGTCTCAGAGAGCCACAAGACTGCGTCATCACTTTTACTCACATCTTCAAGCAGAGTATAGCACTTTGTCTGGTTTTCTTGGGTTATCCTAGGTAATTTATACTACGTATACTTGTATTTATGTGTACCTGTGAGACAGAGATAGACAGACAGATAGAAAGAGAGAGACAGATTGAAAGAGATAGAATGAGGGAGAAAGATAAAACACCATTGTGTATGACACCATGTTTCAAAGAGTTCCACAAGCTGCAGAACTAATAGGAATATGTTCAATGACTGTATATTGGTATATATATTATAGAACAATAATAATAAACAATGTTTTGTGTTGTTTGTTTTTTTAAACAAGTTTTGTAAACAATATGTTGATAATTATGTTTGTGTGCTTATTGTGTTGTATACAACGAGTGTATATATGTACATTGCACCTTACTTTGGTCTCATAGGCCACATAAGTTATGTGAAAAAATAAAATAGTGAAAAAAACAACAAACCTTCAAATACAAGTAAACTAAAGTGTACCGGGTGAGCGGCAGTCGCCGCTGTTGCCATATGCAGCTCATTTTCTGCAAACTTCATGCCTCCATATCTCCGTAAGTATTGATGGTAAAATTTTTTTGTTTATCCTATAATGTTTAGAAAAAAAAACTATTTTTTCATAAGAAATTTTTTTTTTTTTTTTTTTTAAATTTGGCCGACCCTGAGAACAAGTTTCTGAGAGGGCCTGTCGACCCTCAGAGGGTTAAAAGTACATGTTGAACTTTTGTTTGAGATACATAAAAACATTTCTAATCTGGTATAATCTGTCACTTCTGTCAGGCCTGGTTTTGTCAGAGAAGTGCAACATACGTAACAGTAAGATAAACTTGTTCACTGGGATGATTTCACTGAAGACCAGGGTACAAATTAGCCGATCTGTGGACCAGTATATTTTTATATTATGCTTATAGACATGAGGCATAAGCATTATTGTTGCAAAAAGCAAATACAGTTGTCTCTTTCCACCGGTGTAGTCTTGACTGTGGTG